GATCTGCTGCGAGCTTTTCTTGGATGACGTCATCAGAAGAAGAAACTGTCTTTAACACGGCAGAAACAGCTTTCAGAAAAAAGGTCCGTTTCAGGAAAAGCAGAAGGAGTAAGATAATAGGTAATTAACAGATAATAGGTAAAAGAAATAACAATTCAATAATAAATGTAATGAGCAAAATAAAGTAGTATAAATTGTAGTCAATCCCGAGAACTTCTACGACCCATTTTCCATTAGGTGCTCACTGACTAGCCATTTGTGGGAAACTCCGCCCATTTCACCCGTGAATGACCCAGTGTCCATTTGAAACAAGCAAAAATTCGATTGAGATTCCTCTTTCACAAGGAGAGACAAAGCCACACGTTTTCCTCAACTTAGTGACACTTCTTTAGTGGTTCAGGCCCCGGGTTCCAATCAGCAGCTAGTAGCCACGCATCCAAACCTGCACGATTGGGGCTGGGAATAGAGGGAATGATATTACGACTCCGTCTTTCTAAAAAAAAACTGCTCATGCAATCTGTCCACTGGTGGTGTCTGGATCTACCAGGAAAAAAATCATTGAAAGACCCGTTTTTGTGTATTCTAGGGCTTTGTTCCCGTCCATGTTCCTGCAGGTTGTTCGATGGGCTCTTTCTCTCGCTGTTCTGTAGAGAAATGCTTCCTGTGGCTGACGTCGATTGGCAAACAACAGCCCACGCCACATGCTCTCAACGTCAAACAATTCGACGATTTCGTTAAACGGCGCTTCACTTGCGCCACCGCCGAAATTACGTTCGCTCAGCGAAAAAAATAAACGCATGAAAAATCGATTGCCCGGATTATCGCAAGGGGTCAGGCTCTACAAAAAGCGAAAAATGCTGAGCGAAATTCTGAACACAAAAGGAACTGTTGAAAAAACAGAGGCATACCAGAAGTGATATCTAGGAGATGCCCAGAAGACCAAAGGTAAAAAAGATGGCAAACATCACGAGCAGGGACATTTCTACCCTTAGATTTCTTGAGACAACTCCCTACAAGGAAATTCCCGCCACCACTCTCGACTACTCTGCTTCGAGTTGGGTACTCCTGTGGGTCCTCTTCTTGAAGGCACATTTCACCTGATAAGAAGGACGAAGACAGGCTGTTTCTTTCTCATTGCCGCCCCTCCTTTTTTACTGCCCTGAGGGGAACACCAAAGAGGAAGGAACAACGGTTCTGTGTTTCCACCCGAACGATCAATGTACACGTTTTCCCACCATGGCTCAGCGGTGTTGCATTGTCACGTTGCCAACATCTTTTCGATCCCCTCGCCAATAATGCCTAAAAGCAGTATGTGCACGATGACTGCGTGGCGGCGAGCAGCTAAGCGGCTGTTGTATTTTATTGCTGCGCCCTTTCATTTCTGGGCTGTGCCAAAAGAGAGGGGGCGCCAAATGCAAGGAGATCGCAGCGATGAATAACCCCACCGATCGGTGCTGCCTTAATCAGCAGCAGCTGCCATCGACTTCCAGAGTTACGAGCGGCCCTTGGGGAAAAAATTGAATGCGACATCCCTCCAACAGCTCTTCACTGGTATGACCCCCCTCTTCCGATGCTCCCATTCCAACTCTTCTGCGAGTTCCTTCCAAAGAGTTTCCGCATACTACGAGAAAAGTTGCTGTCGAGCGGCGGGGAGTGTAAGGGGGAAGGAGGATATACTGCAAATGGAACCGGAAAAACCGAGGAAAACTGACAATCTAAAATTTTTCACGAAACAAGTAAGACCCCTTCCATTGGCAACCAACCCCTCGCTGAGATTCCCATCGTTCGACGTGCAATGTTCCAGAGGAATGGTAGTTCCTCATAGACGGCTGTTTCACCTTTTTGCCTTCTCGGTTGTTCTCAACCCCTTCTAAATCCCCTTCAAACCTCAGAAGAAATGTCTCTACCAACCCAACTGCTGATCGATGCGAAACCCGAAAACTTCGTTTTTCCAACCTTCCAACACTGCCCTCTCATCAGTCTTGTTACACTCTGCCCTCAAAACAATTCGGGTTACTCGTGAATGATGTTTTCGAGGTTATCTAGACGAGATACCGAGTCAAACAAGGGAATAGCTGTGTAGAGAAGGATATAGGAACAATGAGTAGAAGATTAGCAGACAATGACGATGGAAGGACTGGAGAAACGCTGTTCCATGGAACTTGACTTTTTTCTAGAGTTTAAAGTCTCCAGGCCAAGGGAAGAAACAGAATGCCCTCTTCCCCCACCCCTTCCCTCTCCCCCTCCCCCAAAACCGAACAGCGCCGAACCACTCACTGCGGGAACACCCATCTCTACTCTATGCACAATCATAAGACAAAGAATGAATCGTTTGACCTCTTTCTTCAACACTTCTCTCGAGATCTGCCTCGCAAATCTTAAAGTTGTGGCTTTTATAAATCTGACCAGGGGACCTTACGGAGCTATCTAATGAGCAGATAAGTATCACCCCTCCCCCATCCAAACAAATGAGGAACTGCATAACTACAAGGCTTCACCTAAAGGCTGGTAGAGATCCAATTAGAGATTTGATTCCGGGACCATGAGCGCGGTTGCTGCACCACTTTTCAAAATCTCTCCCGATCACATCAATCAGGCCAATCAGCAGACTCTTAGTAAAAGGAGGAAAATGGCAAAGTTGGCAGATTCCAAGGGAATCAAAAGTCCGAAGTGGATGAGGAAGAGTAGAAACAGATGTGTTGTGAAGACAGTAACGTGCGGTTTTCAGAAATCAAACTACAGAACTCGACAATCTGCGAAATCATGAAAAATCCCAAATTAAATCCTGACGAGAATAAACGCAAAGTTGGAGGATCAAGCAAAAAGTCAGAAGGCGGGCTAAAACCCTCCAAATTACTGTGGAAAAGACCTTCTAAATCACTATACGTCTACAAATCACTGCACAAATACCATTATAAGGATCTTTCAACAAGCCACTACACTGAAAGACCAGAAACGAACCATTATATAAGGGGAAAAGCCGCTGCTGACGCTAATAAGGTTAGAGGCA